TTTTTTTTTTTTTTTTTGTATTTTGAGGTGCTTTAGTTCTGTCATTAAAATCAGTTGTTGGAAAGTTGAACGTGACATATTGATCAGTGAAAAAATATATATAAAATATAGATTGATGGATATTTGTTATTCTTCTTTGCAAATTTATTTTATAAGGAGGGAAATAGATAAAATATATTTATAAATTTTCAAGGAGGTGAATCGTTATGTTTATTTGTAAGGAGAGGAATATAGTCTTTTCTTGCTCTTCCTGCTTATATCTTTGATCCTATCTCTTATCTATGCTCCTCCTGCTTATGTCTATCATCGTATTTCTTACTTATCCTCTTCCTATTTATCTCTATTTTTAAAAATATAAAATAAATATTTTGAAAATAATCAGAAAGTTTAAGGATGATTTACTAATTTGTAAACAGGAGAATAAGGAGCATAAAAAGAAGTAGAGCAATTTAAAGAGTAATTGGCAAAAATAAATTTATAAAGCATAAAATAAAGATTTTTATAAGAAAGAAAAGAATGAAAAATATTTTAAAACGAACGAATAAAGAATGTAAGTAGTAGCATGATAAGAGAAGTGATAAGGAGGAAGAGAAGGAGGAGAATCATCCTTCTTCTCCTCCTCTTCCTAAGAAGAATATACAAAGATAGTTTTAAGGATAACCTTTAAATAAATTTATAAGTAAAGGAATAAAGAATAGAACAGGAAATAAAATAATTTAGGCATTAAAATTAATAAATAAAACGTTCCAATAGCGAATAATTAAAACGTCTTAATTCATCTTAAACTCTTCCACCTAATTTTTTTAGGCATTAAAATTAATAAATAAAACGTTCCAATAGCGAATAATTAAAACGTCTTAATTCATCTTAAACTCTTCCATATACTTTTTTTAAAAATTAACTTACTGTTTTTTAGCCTGTCTATTTTTGATTTAGTTGAAACTTTACACATGTATTCCAGGTGACCATACATTTAATTTTTTTAGAATTTGCAAACAATTTTAGCAAATTATTACCGAAACCTTACGATTATATTTAGAAATACTCTTAGTTACATTTTCTAACAATTTTTCTGGGATTCCCATGAGAGTCCCATACTTTTATTTTTAGTCTTGTAATACCAAGAATACTTTGAAAGTTAAAGAAAATTTATNAATTTTTATAGCTATAAAATAAAATGAATCTCTTGTAATTCATTTTAAAATGAATTGAAGTTGTTTATTATTATTATTTTTACATGTCTAGTCTAGATTTTAGTGGTTTCTTCCCCTGTAAATAATACTTCCCCTGATAACAATCGAGTCATTCCGATTATCTACTGTATCTAACTCCGAAGAACAGACAAACAGACGAACGCAAGTGGAAATTTATAGGTCTGCAATATGAAAATTGCAGCCCAATTAGGAAAATGACAGCTGACCTAGTTAAAAATTCTCACGAAAGAAGCCTCTGCTTTCTTTATAAAGGTATTACTAGCTTCGTGACGATTACTTAGTATTGAACCATAAAAAATTTTCTATAATTTAATAGAAATACAAATTTTCTATAATTTTTTATTGATCTTCTTTATACAAAATTTAATAACTTAAATATAAGTGATGCCGAGTTGAATAACAATTCCATTAATTCTTTGAAAAATCTAAATCTATAGTAGTAACCAATTGGAAGTTTAGTTAGGAAGAAACATAGATGATACAATTAGTGACAAATATATAATAGAATCGACACTAACCCAGAAACATTCAGGACAATGGTAACGTAATGTCCTCCCAGAAGTTTGTGTATTAATCAGGAAAGAACTAGAAAGCATAAATTCAGAAATCCATTATTATCAGGAATTTCAATTGGAAGTGTTTGATAAAATGAAATCTTTTCCGGAAATTTCAAAAGATTACGTGAAGGGTGTGGATCTATCTTCAACTAGAAAGATCCATGAAAGAATTTAGTGACTTACAACGAGAAAGTATATGGAAGTTACTCGTATTTAAGAAATCATGGAATGGCTGTTTGCTATAGAGTAAAACAAAAGAAAACTAAAGCTCTTTTATAATTTAGGGGAAAAAACAATAGAAGATAACTTTAAAGATTAAAAGAAGTAAAAAAATGTATTTTAATTTACTAAGCGCTAAGAAAAGAGCTTTGATTTTCTCTAGAATTCTTCAGAAGAACAATTTTTTCTGGTCAACCATTCATCATTTTCGAAAGAAATCCATAACTGATAAGGTTTATATTGACTTCGAATCTTTCTGTAATCGATTTTCTACAATTTCAATCCCATTTTCTATTGAAGAACTAAAGAATTTAAACAATAACTATCTAGATTCTATACTCAATTTAGAATTAAATGAACAGAATGAGACTTAACTCGTTACCCTGTAAGGTTTGATTCCTGTAAAATTCCTAAAGTTGGAATTATACAGGAATCAAACTTTAATAGAAGTTGCTACCTCTATTAGGGGAGCAAATCTTGCTTTTAACATATTTAATTCATTCTATTTAAATTTTAATTTATTTAATTCATATTAGGAAACTTATTCAGAAAGATTCTGGAAGAAGATTTTCAGTTTCAATTTCGAAATTATTTTGTACTGTACATACAAAATAACGAAATATTTTCTGAATTAACACTTTCTCGACGTATCCCTGGAATGATTCTTTATCTCTTTATCCATTTAATTTTTATATGCTGGACATTGATCAAATATTTTAAAAAGAATCAGAAGGATTCAAAGTTTAGACAAAGACGTATCATTATGTACTGTACTGTATAGTACAGTTACACTATGCAGATGAGCTAGTTCTTGCTACATTTTGTTGGGGAAAAAAGAACTAAGATGTTGAACCAAGAAGAATCAAAAAGTCGAACCAAGATGAAGAAGAACCAAGGAGTTGAATCAAGAACCAAGACTAAATTCCGATATCAAAGACTATATAAAGAACTAAGACTCTATAGAATTTTGTACAGAAGATTCCATAGGAATAACACTAAAATAGTAGGAAAAGAGGAAAATATTTATTTGGATGGACAACTTTTTAATGTTGGTAAATGAAATTAACTATTTAAGAGTGATATTTTCTTGGAACTACTACGTAAATAAACTAAATGCTAAAGTTAAACTCTTAGTAAATAATTTAATATGCATATGTTTCTTACTAAAATTTCTAATATAAATCTACACACGAAGTTGTATAATTATTTAATAAATTCCTTAATATACTTGTATTATGCCATTTCTATTTGGAGCTTTAACTTCTGTTATTTCGAATGTTTTCATATAATTTCTTATGTCAGATTGTTTTGTGTCAAAAAACAGTTTCATTCGGTGTAAGAGAAATAAATATTAAGCTTTTCCTTTTTATTTAAATAAATTAATTAAATTTTACTATAGACTGAAATATAATAATGATGGAAATATAAAGTTTCTCGATGAATCATGCTAAAACAATGTGATAAAGTGACAAAAGATAAAAATCTTTCGGCATTTCATATAAATTACTTGGAAATTTGAATATACCTTATTGAGGCCTTGTCTCCATCTATAAACGAACAAAATTCCTTATCTCAATCTCTCATCCATGGTATCAAATTATCTTAAAAATTCCTTCAAGATCCAAATAGATATCAATGAATATGAATGCTGTTAATACAATTAAAATTAAATAAATTCTCACTACTACTTATGAACAATGTTTATATTGATTTTTGGTGCAATTCAAACCAATTCTCTGTCTGTAATACACCTATAAATTTCCACTGTCGTCCATATATCTGTCCTTCCTTAATTTCGAGAATGGTGTAAGATAAATGAAATTCGAGAGCAGATATGAAAAGCGTAGGGTTAGGAGGTCCTGATTAATTATATCCAAACTACCGGGCTAAAACGAAAGTCACGTGATTTTAATTCAAAAACTACTCCTAAATGCAATTACATAGATGACCAGCATCACTCTATTGATATCAGGAAAAGTATGATTTACAGGGGCAAAACATTACTAATTTGAGATGGAGAACATATATTTTAAATTAAATAAATTAAAAATATAATTAAAAATTGCAGGTCGTTATTTTGAATATGTAGCAATAATTTCTGCTCGTTTCTCGTCTAAAACACTGTAAAAAATTGTTAAGGTGCGTCAATAGAATTGAACCTAGCTCAAGAATACCGATTGAAATTGAATAAGTTGTCAAAATTTCAAAGGAATAGACTTAAATGACATTTTCAAACATATTGTTAAAGAACAAATCAGAAATAAGAAGTAGAAAATCATTATTCATGTATTGAAAATGGCTACTTTTCGTCAGTAAAAACAATTTATGTAACTAGTAAATTCCCCATGTAACAGGAATTTAACCATATTACTAACAAACAATTTGATTGATTGATTATTTAATATAATTTGATTGATCAATCAAATCAAACAAAACTTCATTGATTAAGCTATATATGAAATTTTCTATTTATGATATACATTACTTAAATATTTTATATAAATTTTTCTATAAAGTATTGAAAGTTTACAAGTAAATTTAATATATATTTCTTTTATTTATGGGTTTTTATTTTAAATTATTATACAGTTAAAATTTTAAAGTTCGCAGCGATATGACAATAAATATCTTCATGTTCATGAAACGTTTATATCTTTCATTCAATTTTAACTCTTTTATATTAATAAATTAAAGTTTATTTAGTATAAAAATTTGTTTTTTGGAAAGTTCATTTATTATATAATAATTCTAATTATAGAGTTAAAATTGGTTTTCTACGTGAGAATCATTTACGTTAAATCCTTTAAAAAATAAAAGAATTTTATGACTAAAAAATTCTATAAGAAATGTTATTTAAAAAATATTCAAAAAATTAATTTCCTTTTCAATGAATTTATATCTTTCCAAATTAAATCATTGAAGCATACATACGAATATTTGATTCTTAATTTATATTATTTGAATTAATAGAATGTAGCTTATTAATGTTAAAATAATGTTTTTAAATATTATAAATTATCTAGAACGGGGATTAAGTAACATCTTTTTAATTTATAATCAAAATTAAACGTCATAAAATATCGATTAATTAATGGAATCAAAATAGTTTTAGCTACTTTAAATCATTGTTTATTATTTCAAAGGTTATTTATTATAATAATTCAGTTTTTTAATATTATTAAAGTTAACTTTATTAATAACTAAGTAGTTAATTAATAATTAAGTTAAATAATTAAGTTTATTAATAATACTTTTTAATATTTTTGTGTCAACTTTATAGTTAAAATCAATTTAAAAAATTATAGTTTTTTAACTTAATTTAAAATTTCGTTTATTTATTTATTTATAATAATAATTTAAATTATAATAACACCAAAAAAAGTCTTTTAAAATTAATAATTTGTAATAAGTTACATATAATATAATAATTTTTATCTGTATGGTCAAAATTACACTAAAATTTGTAGTTTTTCTTGAATTAAAACAGTTAAAAAATAATTAAAAATATAAAATTCCTTTAAAAAATCTATACTTTTTAAAATGTTTTATACATAAAGGAATATGTTATAGTGCTTATTTCTGTCAACTTTAAGGTTAAACTACGTAAGAAATGGCAGGTTTTTTTTTAATTAAAAATAATTCAGAAAATAAAACATATCTATCATTATTATAAAAAGAAAATTTCAAAGTATTTCTAGTAACTTTCAATAATTAATTTCATTTTTTTTTCACTACACAAAATTGTAAAAGATAACAAGTTATAATGAAAACAAAGCTAGTCCTTTCCAGCATATGGCAATGACAGATTCGTTTTCTCCATTCTGATGAGCTTATTTCCTCTTTTTTTTATATCATTTTAGAAAAAAATTTGAATAAATTGAACAATAATATTCATATAAAATACGTATATAATATATGTTTTTTTTGTAGTTACAACTACTAAATTATTTTCTCCATTTTATATTTATAAAAAATAAAAATAATAATAATAATAATAATAAGAATCATATTGAAAAATTGAATGCGTGTAGAAAATTCCAGCAACTTGTTGGGATTAAAGGAAGAAAATATCGATCCAACATGTGTTAATCTAATGATGATGTTCACAACCCGATCCATGTTTGATTAAATAACGTAAAGCAAATAAATAATCATTCTTCATTTCTGTTAAATCTTTGATTTGAAATTTGTTACCAATGAAATTTAATACTATTTATCAGATTTTTCTATTAAATGTATTTCCAAAAGATGATTGAAAGTATGGAAGTTTATATTTGAATTACAACTTCTTAAAAACGAAAAAAAGAAAGAAAAAAAAACGTGTATTTACATACGAGAAAATTGCAAAAATTATAAATTTCTACTAATATTTAACCTTTAAGTAAATAAAATATTAAAAATTTCATGAAATTTTCTTCATAAATTTACGCTAATTTTACATAAAATTCTCAAATTATATCTCCTTGTAACTATGTTTAAACAGTTATTTTCACGTGTTAAGAACACTGTAACTGTATAAATATAATTTATAAAATGAGTTTTATTTATAAAAACTATAAAAATATAGATTTTAATGTCATTTAAGTTTTAAATTAAAAGAAAAAAATTGTATAATCTCTTCTTTACTTATACATGAAAAACTTAAATTAACACTCCATAAATACTTATTTTAATGAGAATATAAAGTTAGAAACTTTATATTTATACGAAAATAACTTCCTGAACTTTATTTAAGGTCGAGACTTTTATAATACCGGCAACTAAATATTTAATAAAAACATTAACATTTAAATGAAGTAAATGTTATAAATTATTTTTTTTTCTTTTTAAAAAATCAAAATCTCTGTAGCATAATAATCAAAAATAAAGCTTTATTTATGTTTTAAAAAAACATATATTTATTTTTAATTTATAAGAAAGAAAAAAGAGAAGATAAAGGAAAAAATGTTATAAAAATATACTCACGTGGGAAATATAAAGATTAGAAAAAATAATATTGAAGATATACAAGTCATATTTCCAATAGGAACGACAGAAAAATATCTGAAAGATAAATAATATAAACATTTGTAGTTGGTATGAAGTCACAAGTTGAAGTGACAGTTGTGCCCATCGGACAGTATCTCAGTTAAAATGAATTCTAGAATAACTACTACACGTGGTGGTAGGTTTGTAGATAGAGCATGCTCCATGCTGGCAGGCAGAAGAGTGTGTTATTCGATAGGATGATGATAACGCGATGTACCATTATGTAATTGAAGTGTAATGTAATGAAATGCTGTCAGCCCTGTTAAAGTGAATTTAAAAGTTACTTAGTTGTGTTTACATAACCTGTTTTCATGTCAAACACTAAGTTTTCATTTCGAAAAATATTGTCACGACATATATATATATATATATATATATTTTAATGAACCATCGTCGTCCCCGTACGCTGCC